GGTTGCAGGCAAGCCTCGGATGTCACTGCCCAGCCACCCTGGGCTGTCTGAGGCTCAGGTAACCAGGGCTCTCTGAGGCTTGCACTGCCGGCAGTGGCAGCAGCAGAGGTGTGTTGGGGGCATCGCCTACCCCTGATTGCCAGGTTGCCTCCCACCCCTGAGGGCTCCCGGACTCTGAGCGGGGGCAGGCTGGGCTGAGGGACCCCTGCTCCCGTGCATGAATTTTCATGTACCAGGCCTCTAGTTTTACAAATACAGAAACAGGCTTAGAGAGACTAAGAAGGCTGTTGAAAGTTGGAGCAGTAACAAGTGAGAGAGCTGAGACTTGAACCCATCTGTCTGCCTCCCTCCTGAGGTCTTAAGGACCCACCAAAGGTTCAACAGCTGGACACTCACACCTCCCCCCAAAGGAAAGGGAGGCCTGGTGTCTGGGTTTGCAGGATGGGACCAGGCTACCTGCAGCCCCGCCCACACCCAGGAGGAGCCTGCGCTGCTCAGCCTCCACGCACGTCCTTACCTCTATCTGGTCAATGGTTTCCTGATACTCTTTCTCCCGGGTTTTGAACAGGGACTCGGTATCTTTAATCACCTTCTCCAAACTGTCTTCCTGCTGCTGGAGAAGCAAGGGAAGCAAGGGTAGGGGAGGGGCAAAGGGACGGGATGGGACCAGGCAGGGGGGTAGGGGGGGCGTCATTGCACGGGGCCAAGGACAGGGAGAGAGAGAAAATCAGGTTAAAGGAAACTGACAGTCGTGACAAAAGGAAAAGGGTCAAGAAGAAGGGGAGAAGCAGGTGAAGGATGATGGCCACAGAGGGGAAGCAGAGCGAGGAGAAGCGGAAGGCGGGGGGGAGGGGAGATGGCAGTGAGCTGGAGGGGCAGGACTGGGGGGCCCTGAGGCCGGGAGGGGAGGTTACCTCTCCCTGGGCCTCTGCCGCTGCCATGGCATAGCCTGAGAAATCCTCCCACAGCAGCAGGGTCTCCTCAGTCTCCTCCCAAGTCAGGCTGTCACAGTCGTCCTCAAAATCATACTCCCGCCTAGA